TCTGATTTTTTTTTTTAAGTTTAGTTATTGATTTTGAGAGGGCGAGCGAGCGCCGAGAAGGAACAGGCTGGAGCAGAGCGAGAGGGAGAGAGAATCCCGACGTGAGCTGTCCGCTCGGGGCCCGACGCGAGCTCCATCCATCCCACGACCTGAGCTGGCACGGAGAGTCGGACGTCGGCAGAGGCAGGAATCTTTTGCCTTTAGTTTTGCGCTCGCTTTGCTCGGGGGTCCCCTGGGGAGGGGGGGGCAAGAGGGAAACCTCAGTGTCCTGTGCCTTCTCCGCCCTGGCGCCTGCCCCGAAGGGACCGCGGTGTCCGTCTGGGCTGTGCCCCCAAAGCAGCAGAGACCAAGAGAAAAGACTGGCCAGAGGGCAGAGACACTGGCCATGTGCTCCGGAGCCCGACTCAGCTGACGTTGAGTCCCAGAGCCAGCCCTTGGCGACTGCAGCCGTGTGGCCTCGGGCGAGCAGGTTCCTCCTCCGAATCCTTGTCTTCAACGAAAGGGAGTCGTGTCTAATTATTAAACACCGGGCACCTAGGAAGCCCTCATCTGTATGAGCTTCTGAGCCTCAGTTTCCTCCTCCTCCACATGGGGGTAACGCTTGGCTTGCCAGGAGGGAGGCTCTTGGAAGCGCCTGTGCTGCTGGAGCGGGGAGTGGGTAGGGGGTGGGGGGTCCATCGCTTGTCCATTTGCTGTGCGCCAAGCCTTCCTTCATCCGGACAAAAGATGTGCTTGGAAGCCGACACCCGTGTTTCTGGGACATGGGGCTGCCAGCCGGGGTCGTCCCAGACCCACACCGTACATGGCGAGTCACGATCAGGGACGGGACAGAGGACGCAGGGGACGTCCTGCATTGTACGTTATCTCTGCCTGGGTGTTTGAGGGAAGGAGTCATGCAAGGTTGCTCCCTGCCGACGCTGGCCTTTCTCGCCCCTGGAGCGCAGAAACCAGTGGGAGCAGCTGTCTTCTCTCTTGCCAAGTTCAGTTGGGGCTTTGGGCCCTGGTGTCTGCACCACCCCCGGGATCGTGGACCAGACACAGCCCAAGAGGGGACCCTGGGCGTCCGCCCATCCTTGGCGCGGGCGGCCGCACGCTCGGCCCTGCTTGGGCTTCTGGAACGAGACAGAAACCTCACCAGCAGAGGCTAGAGAAACCAGCGTGGGCAAAGGGCGGATTGTTACCCACCGTCACCTGGAGCCGAAAATAAGACGGACTTCGTGGGGAAGCCCTGCGGGTTGATGACTTCACGGTAGGAATCTTTCCCTCCACGTCTGCGGGAACGAACCAGCCGAGCCAGGGCCTGGCAGACGGGACGAGGTCTCCTCTGATTTCCCGCCAAGAATTTCCTTAAAGCCTCCCTCGGCCTGGGGAAGCTGCGGTTTTGTTCTTGGTGGTGGTGGTGAGGGTGGTGACGCTTCTCTCGGAGCTCAGTTTCTTTGCCTGCAAAAGACGTGCCCCTGCCTCGCGGGAGGTGGGGGGGACTACAGCAGTGCCTGCCTGAAAATGAAGGCAAGACGAAACCCCCGGGGGGGCCCCCAGGAGGAGGCGTCCTGGGGGTCAGAAATGTGTTTACATCACCGCTGGGTGGTGGTTACACCGGTGAATCTAGATGTAAAAATTCCCTGAGATGTATCTTAAGTGGTGACTTTGCTGGGTTAAACACACACACACACACACACACACACACACGCACGCACGCAAGAATTCTCTGGTCACGGTGAGCAAAGAGGGACTGCTTTGTCCAAGCCCCCATGTGGCTTCTTCCAGCTGGCCCTCCTCGGCATTTCCTGAGGATCAGAGACCCAGCTCTTGGGCCGGTTCATTGTCTGTGACTTCAGAGGAGCTTGAGAGAGAGGAGGAAGCAGCCCCACCCCTGCTGCTGGTTCCTGACCTCGGTGAGAGGCGCCGGGACGTTCTCCGGCCAGGGGATGGAAGAGAAAGAACTGTGGCTCAAGCGACCGGAGTCAGATTTCTATTGCACCGTAGTCGTCCGGGCTGGCATCGGCCACGTCTCCCCACCCTTGAGAAGGGGTGCCGTGCGAATGCACGGATTAGCCGGCGCTTTCCGATGGCGCTGCATGCGGGCCCTGCCGGGGCAGAAGCTTCCCGCTCCACTCCCCTCCCCCCTGCTCCAGGTGGGACCCCTGAACTCCTCGCAGAATGAACAAGACCATGAAGGGCTGTCGGACCACCGCTCTCTCCTAACTAACCCTGGGAAAGCACAGCTTTCCTTTCAGGGACCGTAGGGACTGTAATGCTGGTGGGGCAGCCAATCCCAGTACTCCCTTTCTTGGGAACGGGGTGGGCCACGTGACCCAGGGAAGCCAATCCCAATGGTCCCGGCAGCTGGCAGAGCCAATCAGAGGCTTCCCTGGGAGTTTATATTGTGACCTCCCCCTCCAGAGACCCCCGTTGGCTCTAGGGCTGAGGCTTGGGGCCTCAGCGGCCTGAAGCTGTGTGGAACTATCCGCCCCCCCCCCCCCCCCGCCTTCCCCACGTGGAGGGGGCCTGTATTCTGGGGACAACAAGGCCCCAACCTCTGACTCACCCGGGTCTGGGAGTCTTAAGAGTCTCCTTCTTCGCTTAAACAAAACATCAGTCAAATCACGTTTGCCTTTGGCTCCAAACTGCGGTGGCTCCCGTCTTGCTCAGAGTAAAAGCCAAAGTTTGGACAGTGGCCCACGGCCCTGTCCCATCTGGTCTCCATCCGGTTCTCTCTGGATTCCTCCCCCACTCGCTCGGTCAGCCTAGCCACTCCGTCCTTGCTCCCGGCCTTCACTCTGGCCGGGGGCCTCTGCCTGGAAGTCTCTTCCCCTGGACATGGGCTGTGTTGACACTTCACCTTCAAGTCTTTGCTCAGGTGT